CCCTAGACTTGATTATATATGGCTTTTGACTCGATATCTCAACCGACATAGCGTATAATAGCATTATGCCTGAGCTAGAGAACGGTTGCGGGACCACCGCACACCGACCCAGTAGACAACCGCGCCGATGAGCCAAACCGCAACCAGAATCAGAGCCTGGACCGGCGCAAACGAAGCCCCCCTGACCACCACAAACCCGCTCACAATGGCAAAGATGAGGGGGATGGCGATGAAGGGCTTATAAGGACGTTCGAGACCGGGTTCTCGGTACCGCAGGACGATGGCGCCGACCACGGTGAGGAAGAAAAAGGCATACTCGCCAAGACCGTTGAAGGTGACGAGGTCGCGGAAGTTGCCGACCGCGATGTACACGGCGGATACGACGACGGACAGCAAGACGGCGTTGATGGGAGCGTCGTACCCGGACGGGTCCTGGGAGTCGTCGGAGTCGTCGGGCTTCTCCTGGAAGCCGATGCGGCCGACAATGGCGAAGAGCCGGGGGAACCAGCCCTTGTTGGCCGCCGAGACGATCATGCGGCCCACAACCAGGGAGTTGCCCAGGATGGAGCCGGCGATGACGAGGCAGATCAGCACGGCGGCGATGATGCCGAACTTGACGCCCAGGAGGCGGCTGATGGCGGTCTGTGACGGATTAGCGGCAAGCCCCGGGAGTCTTTCATGGGAAGTCATGATTGGAAACGTACAACAGCAACGCTGTCACTTGTGGAGACAGTATCCCATGGTAGGAGGATGTAGTATGCGGCATTAGCAACGATGAAGCAGAGGAAGATGGTGGGAATCGCTGTGTTGATTGTGAGAGGAAGCTGCTTTCCTGGGTTCTTGAGCTCAGAGGAGATATAAATTGCCTATTACCAATACTGTTAGCAAGCCGCAAGGAAACGATTGACAGAGTAGGCAGACCTTGTCCCAGCCCGAGTAGGCCCAAAGAGCACCGTAAACTGCGGCCGAGAGGTGTCCCAGCAGCTCCCAAGAACTCAGCTGATCCCAGTCTGTAGTGCTCCCGTCTGGATTGAGGGTCTGGCGGTTGCCAAACCAGGGCTTGGTGTACCAGTCTCGGCCGCCAATGTCCTCCCGGTCCGGGCGAGCAACCTGGAGGACGATCACGGCCAGACCAGCCGCCACGATCAAGATGATGCTGGAGAACTTGGTCCCTAGGAAGAAGCCGCTGAGCCGGGTGCTGGTCTTGGTGCTGATGCAGTTGGCCAGGCTCACAACGAGCAGGACGAGGATTGCGAGGAGCTTGTGGAGCAGTGTGCCGGCCTGGTCGGTGGTGCCCAGGGCTGAGTATATGCTCTCCACGAATACGATGCTCAGAATGGCGAGCGTGGCGGGCATCACGGTCAATATCCAAGTCCAGGCCGCCAAGAAGCCAAATATGTCTCCAAAGATGTACTGTAGATAGGGCTGGACGCCGCCTACAGAAACGCGCAAGGCGCGTGTTAGCACAGCTGTTTACATTTCCAGAAACTAGGCACTAAAGAGTCTAGAATGAGAGAAAAAAAGAATTGATTGGAAATTGCATACCCTCTCCGGGAATTGCTGTACCAAGCTCTGCCAGTGTACTCGCGCCGGACCAAGCCAGGATCCCGCCCACGAGCCACATGACGAGGGCCATGCCAGGTGAAGGGACGTTGGTGTCAATGGCGCCGGGAGAGGTGAAGACCCCACTGCCGATGACGATGCTGACGAGGATGCCAAAGGCCGCTGCTGCGCCGAGGGAGGGCGCGAACGTCCCTCGCTGGTTCACTGGTTCGGCTTGTTGGCCGTCATCCCTGGCGCCAAGCAAGGGCTGGCGCACGTCTTCCGCTGGAGGCTGCTCCGAGGCCATTGTAAGTGGACTCCAGCTGTCGTTCTATATCGGTCCAGGAGTTGGGTAGTAGGCAGATGCTGGCAGGAATGCGTGTGGAAAGGAGGATGGAGGAGCGCTGGGAGGCTGGTGGTGGTGGTTCTGGAGGATGGCGCAATCGGCAATCGTGGGGATGCAATGAGTAACATGCGCTTAGATTGTCGCCATCGGTCGGGCTACACACAGGAATGGAGATGGCAAACAGTGCGAAGATGTACGCTGATGGGGATTATCTACAAACCTCTGATGGCAAGTAGTATTTTACTCAGGCTTAATGCGTTGTATCCGGTCATGAGGTCACAGACGAAAGCTGAATACCGACTCAAGATGACATGGGAATTTGCAAGCATCTGACTCACTGTCATTTAGTGGAGTGTCACTGAGGACGCGGAAGCGACAAACGCAGTCACCACTTGATTACGCCTGGTTTTATGGATGAAAGGTCGATTCAAATATCCCTTCATATTGAAAAGCTAAAAAAGAAAAACCTCGCTGCGGAGAAGAGTCGCATTGGCACTTCCGACCATCATCCTCCAGGACTGACTGCATGCAGGCTTTATGCACATCATGGTACATTGGTAGCGGTGGTGCAACGCAGGCTGACAGACAGATGGGTGACAGAAGAAATTAGGCAAATTGAAGGACGGCTATGAGCAAGCCATTTTCTACGATTGCCAGAAGAATCCAGCGATATAAATTGATATAAATTAACAATATCCAATGTACTATCTTTTAGGCATTTATCAAGCATTACTCTCCATGCTTGAGTGTCTAAATTTCAATGCCACCTTAGGTACCTGGCCGATTAGCCAGGCCGCCCAAAGTTCTTCCTCATCAGCAACCGCGTCGCATCCTCAATTCCCTGCAGAACCAACCGCTAGATGCCGTCGATTTCTCCCCACCCGTCGTCGTCGTACGAGAACAGGCGCAGTATCGCCTTGGCCACCTCTCTGCCGTCATGCTCCAGGTGCGCCGTCTCCTTGGCCTGGTCCGCATGCTGACGATCTCTCAACGACCCGGCTTCCTCCCGCATCTCGATTTGTCTCTTGACCATGTCCTCGTCGAAAGCGAGATGGGCCTGGGTTGTGAACAGCCTCTTCTTGATGAAAAGCCCCTGCACTGCCGTATGCTCGCTGCGCCCCCAGCATTCGACCTGGGTGTCTGGCGCGAGAAGCCCACCGGCCGTCTCAGGGCCCGGCGGTGCTACGACTTGGTCTCGATGCATCTGGTGCAAATAGACCGTGTCGTCCTTGGTGCGGAATAGTCGCTGGCCTGTAGATGTGAGTGTGATGGCACTGTGGCCTAGTTCCCAGTCACCCTTGGGCGATGGGGCGACCTTGGCCCCCAAGAGTCGCGAGAGGAGCTGGTGCCCAAAGCAGACCCCCGTGAAGTAGAAGCTCTCCTTCTTCAACCAAAGTTCTGAGCGGCAGCATATCTTAGTAGCGGTTCGAAACCAGACGGCGAGTCTCCTTTGCCTCCACACTCACCTCGTAGTAGCTCGAGCAAGTCGAGAATCCATTGGTTGTTTCCGTGGGCATCGTACATGCTGCCCGTGATTAGCAGCCCGTCGAAGCCATCAAACTCATCACACGTTGGCAGTCGGCCACCTTGCTCGGTGACGACAAAGACTTGATCCGTCTCAACGCCAAGTGGCGGATGGTGCTCTTTGCCCGCTTCCGTGAAGTGGTGGTGCAGGATATCCCCGAATGAACCCTTCTCGGCCTGAGTATCGGGATGCGGCATGTCGGTCTCCAGGACCATGACACGGACCACGGGCGCATCAATTTCGGGGTTGTCGTGCCTCGACATGATGGGTGTATAACAAGTGAACTGAAGATCCAGATTAATTCACGATCCGCTTAGATTTACGGTTAGAGAGGAAATTTGGTCAAAGAAAATATTCTAAGATCGTACGTCGAGATGCCTTGAGATGACTGCGTTATTAGACCATCATCGATGGTGGTCTTTATTGACCTTCATTGCATCCACAGTAGTGCCATTGACGCGTCCAGCTTGGCAAAACCCACGGTTTGCTCATATTTCTCACATCGAAGCAAAAAAGTCTTTGGTGTTTTTGGGCGATGCCCAGGCTTGTTGACGTAAATTTACATTGGCATTCTCACAATGACGACAATGAGGATCCGCCGACAATGGGGCATATCGGCTATCCACCGACTTGTTACCTAGCTCAGACGAAGCGGTTAGCTTGTAGCAGAAGCGGCTATCTAACCGTCGAGGGCGCCTCGCAGTGTAACTGGCATGAATTCATGTAATTAGCGTATGTATGCATCTGCGGTGCTGCAAGTTTTGGACTTGTGATTGCCAAGGTGGATTGATCTCACAACCTGGAAGGCGGCCCCCAACTTGGTCGTAATATTGGATCTTGGAAGCTGCTCCAGCAAATGGATCACATCACAAGCAAGCACCAAGCATTGGAGGGGCCGCGGCAGTTAGTGGGCTGGTGGGGTGGTTTAGGTGTCTGGGAGCTCTGGTTGTGTCCCCTGTCGGCGGCCCCGGCCCAAGTGAAACTGCCATGCGCGCTGTGCTCCGGCCAGACGAGGCACATGATTGGCTCAAAACCTGCGCCGCCGCTGTGGTGGGTGTTTTCCAGAGGCTCCCGGCCGCCCAGCCTGCAGGCTCCATTCACAAGGCCATGACAATAGGAGGAACACCTGCTGCTCTATTTTTGTCGCCGGCGGATTCTATTCAACCACAAGGGAGGGGCCATTGAGCAGCACGACGGCCAAGATGGTCTGCCTTGTTGCGCCCGCGCGAAGAGCCTCTTGGAATAAATACGCGAGGTCTCGTTTCTTTTGCCTTCTTCCTTCCATCTCAATCAGCCTCTTCGTCTACTCCCGCGTGGCATTCCTTCCTTAAAAACCTTCTTTCGTCTCTGGCGTGGTCTAGCCGAAATTCGAATACGTCACTCTCTCTCATCGATCACCGATCAAGCCTTGGCTTTCACTTACACAACGCCATTCATTCCTTGCCTGCCCCAAAGGTTCTCCTACCCCGCTAGCTTGAACCTTGGCTTTCTTGACACCCGGCCTCTTATAAAAGAATCGACAACAATCCATCCCAGCTCCCATTCTTCAAGTGCGGGCCTGGAGTAACTTAAAGACACATTCCATGGTCAATCCGGATCTACCCCCCACCACTCGAGACTAATACTACCTGGTCTCTTCCCAAACAAACTAAAAAATCCACCAAAATCTCCATTGTCTCTACACACCGGCCTCGCCATGCAAATCAATATGCTCGTCAGCAACATCTTCCTTCTCGCCAGCTTGCTCGCCACCGCCGCCGCCGCGCCGCTTGCTGCCAGCCCTGGCGACATCTTCGACGTCGTTGAGGCCAGATGGGGGCAGAAATGGCTGCGGACCGTCGAGTGCACCGAAGAGGATGCCCAGAGAGCCGGTTGCCTGGACGGCTGCGTCAGATACTACAGCTCCGGCGTAGTCTGCAAGCACAGCGAGAGGGCGGAACGGGTCCATCAGGAGCAGATGAGGTCGTCGGCCTCGACCCAGGAGAGAGATGAGGGCCGGCCCATGTATTTCTGGGGCACGCCCGGCAAGGGTATCCAGAGCGTCACTCCGGGGCATTAGACGGAGCGAGGTTTGACTTTATATAAGAAGTATAATCGGGGCCTGGATTGCCTCGAGACCTGGCGTTTAGGACTTGGAAGGAGTTTGGGGTGATTGATTTGATTTTATGATGGCTATACCCTTATGATTATACCCGTGGTTGTAAATGAGCAGATAGCTTAGAAGAAATCTTCTGTTTTATAATTTCCCTGTTAGGGAAACTTTCTGCCTACATACATTTTATAATGTTTTTTTTTTTACTTTTCCCGGAGTTTGTACTCCAGCACCGCCAAGAAAGCACCCAACCCAGCTATCATCCCTCGCAACAAATAATTGATACGCGTCTGACCCTTCCGTCTTCCGACAATACAAGTGATCGCTACGAACCTGGAAAACATCCTCCGTCATGAGAAGTGAGGTTCGGAAGGAACTGACCTATCTGTGATTCTTTACGACGAGTGGTCAAAGAGGCGTGACCCAGCCGTCATCCCTTGCCGCACGCCTTGGCCTCTCCCAGTGTCTACTACTTTAGGATGCCAACTAGCACAGCAATCTTGGTATAGCATAAGGATCAAATGTCACCAAGCGAGAGTTTTAGCAAGCTAAGAAGACGGGCTCGGCTAATAGGCATGTATGCGTAAAATCTGTCGAGAACTGCCATTATAAAAGTGGAATATCCGTGGATTGAGGATGCCACTACCTAGCATGCGATCCGCGAGAACAAGATCACATCCTGGTCAATGGTTCCAAGGACCCTTGGCTAGGCAGACCTTGCGTTGGTCGTATCGGCCGCCATTCGCGGGAGGTGACTACGATGACCTAGTAATTTCTTTCCCTTGGGGGCACCTCCTCGCGGCTGACGAAGAGGTTTGCAACAAGGTAGGTCCGTGATCTGCGTTATTAACCTTATTCCTCTACCAATAGCTGATATCAGCACACCATGTGCTGTGGTAAGTCGATGTGAGCAGGAGCGGCACTTGAGCCAAACGGCGATTCAATGTCATGTAAGTTTGGACTGTTTAAATGGGTGGCTCGAGTTCACGATCATTATGAGGAAGGAGGCATGCATTTTATAAATAAGATCTAGAGGCATATGGTGTCCCGTCGCTTAATAATTGCGAAACTGATTTATATTTCATAGTACCTAGGTCACTTCGTTTGTGAATTTCGTAGTAGCAGTTGGAATGATCCGCTCAAGGGAATGTAATAACTGCCGTTAAGTGAAGAGAAGTTCCAACCTGCGTGTACAAAATCCTTCTTGTAGCCATTTTAATCCGTTGTTCCAGTAGCAATATTCATTTCCAGTGTCGCAATATAGTCCCGTTAAGCGTCATTCGTCCCAGTTCGATTCATTCCAGTACGATTTATCTAGTACTGCAATATGATTCCATGCAGTCCCATTCCATCTTCGGGCTGATCCCCTTGCAAGATTCATCCCAGCATCGTATTATTCATTCCATGGAATAATCTTTCAGGAATCCTCATCAGTCTTTTCCGGTCACTTATTCCCCCAGCCAAAAATGCCTAGTCGGGATGTTGGTGGGTTCGCGGCGACAGACTGAACTTGCGACTGCTGGACTTGTCCTGACTGAACTTATCTGGGTTGGATTTGTTCTGCGCCTTGTCGGGCCTGCCCATTGAATCTTGTGACCCATTCCTTCATCTTGTCATCACTGTAGCATTCGAGGCGGCCATCATCCTTAATCCATTGGCAAAGCTCCGTAGGAAAGCTAGTGAAAGCGTGGACCATTCCCTCTACATTACCTGTCTCTAGATGCTTCTTTGTGGTCGCGAGGTATTCATAGATGGTACTTTTCATTCCATCAAGCGTTGTCGACAAGTCCTGATTCTTCTGCTTTAGTGAGGTTTCCTCGGAGGAGTCTAGGGCAAAATTGGCATTCTTGCTTTCTGTCTCCAACGGGCCCTCGCGCTCCGTTCGTTGTCGTTTATTGGGGAAGCCATCCTTTCCAGTTTCGAGCTTTGATGGAACCTGAAAAACGACGATCCATCATAGCACTGTGGTGAACCAACATTTCCGTCTGGCGATCCATCTTTTCGAACAACTTAGTGATCATGGCAACTACTCTCTCGGAGCCTGGTCGATCTGCCCGTGCTTGCAAAAGAATCTGCTCTCTCTCCTTCAGGGTCTCCAATGTAGTCCGCATCAGTTGGGCACCTTTGTAGAAGAGGTTTTCCATCTTAGACCCCGTCCAGAGTCTGCTCATTTGTATCCAATCTGAAGTTGTTCCTGAAAATTGACAGGCTACTGGGAACTTGGCTGGCTCTAGCCATTCAACCACGTCTTCCTCAGCAGATTGCGTGACTGATATCAAATCTGGAAGTCATGGAATGGTTGAAAGTGAGGACTGCAGCTTGGATCGGAGTCTGTGGTTCTCAAAGGCTCTAGGCGGTGGATCAAATGGAAGTGAAGGGTGTGGGAAGGTGTGAATGTTGGTGGAAGGAAGAAAAAGAATCTTGCCAAGGTAGGTTGTAGGAAATGAAGTGGATAGTAGATTTCCCTGCGCTTATGGATGAATACTGGCATACACTGCACGAGTGTCATCAATGAGAGGCAGGTCAGGCCAAAGTGAAGTTTCTGAAAATTAGCTAGGTTGGAGATTTCAAGAGAGCCAGTTCAATCTGGTGCACCAAAATTAACCGACAATGCCAAAACAATAACACTTGACTCCCTCCTAGGCAGCACTACCCTTAGGTTTGTTTAGCTACCTGGCTTGTAATTAGGCTTTAGATCCGTGAAGATATACCCGGTAGATAATCCATTGTTGTGAATCAAGGCATCTGGTTCATTGGAAGGTATGGCCGCCATTGATATGTTTTGTGAGCGGATTTCGCGCAGAGAACGATGCATCGCAGTGGCTACATTCCCATTCCTTCCCTGCACCGTGGACTCTCATGTGACGACCCAATTCTGACAAAGTGATAAATGCCCCTTCACACTTGGGACATTTATATGGACCTAAAAGGCTTCTCTTCAGTATGCCGTCTTGTATGAATTGACAAGTGGTCTTCTCGAACAAAGGCCTCTCTGCAGATACCGCACTTGAACTCCCCTTCTTTTTATGTATTCATATGTTTCAGAGCATTCATGTGTTTGTGTTGGGGGGTCATCATCCGGAAACCAGAGCTCAATCGGAAGCAGTGGAATATCAGGTTCTGGTTCTGGAGGCTGGACTCTTGTGTCGCACCAGTTACTATGTCATACTTTATCGCCCATGGACGGGTCGACTCGTGCCAATGGATGATGGAGAGGAAATCTGCTAATATCTTGACGGAACCCTTTCCACAGCTCGTGATGGAAGTTCGACATCGCCATATTGGTAAAAGCTGTATCGAGAGTCACGTTACAGTGACGCAGGCCGATATGAAGCACAGGGTCAAAGTCTCCCCCATTTGTGTCAAGTATACCAAGCTTCATTGGAATGCCCTGTTCTTTCACACGGCAAAGCAACACCCGACATGGGTGTTTATCCATTGGGGTGATTGGGAGTTTCCACTGGTTAAGGGCCACATGGAATAGGATTTCGCCTTGTCTGGTGAGCACAGCCTTGAGAATTTTGATAATCTCGCAGAAGTGATGTGCAGCCCAGTACAACATCGTGAAATTGTCCACATCTTCTCCAAGCCCCGCGGCTTCTCTGTGCCGATTGCAATGGTTTTTCATGTCTCTTTCTATAATTTTTGGCGTTCATTTCGCATCACTCTGGTTTATATCCTCATGAGTGGTAGCCCGGTATTATTTGAAATTCATTGCTCCAACACTTCAGTTGATGGAGTAAACTGAGACATCAACATTGAATCAGTATTCAATCCGATTCTAGCAATAAATAACTGAATAATCAACACATTAGTAGAACAATTATTCTAAAATGGGTTTATTGAGTGATTATTGCTGTTGCGATTGTCAATCAACGTACACAAGGTTTGATTTCACGGTCATCACGAGTTGGTGAAGTCAAAGGAGAAATAAAGTTGCAACTGAAAGCAAGCCTGAATTTTTTAAATACGATGTAGAGACCCATTCTATCCCGTCATGTGATAAATGCGAATCTGAACTAGCTGATCTGTGTGTTCTAGAAAATCACTTCCATCACTTCCGTCTCTCACTAGCAGGTCCAAAGGCTGCACTTGATGGAAATGTGGCAAACGCGTTGAAAATGAAAATCTTCTTCTAGGTTGATGACCAGCCTTGTTGTCGGTGATTTCAGTCAGTTGTTCTATGTATCAAAATCCATCACAGCTTCACAACATCATCCGGCGTAACGTCATCCGGTCCGTTGGAAAATACCGTGAAGGTAGGCCAGTGAAAACGTGAACTAGTCCATCAATATCACCCACGGCTAGCTTTTTTCCCTGGTTCTTCTTCGATTCCAAGCATCCAACTACATCTTCCTCAGCAGAAAGCTGGTCGTGATCCAGGATCGTTTCATCTCATTAGCCAGCTCCTCGCCGTCATGTACTCGTGAACAGCAGGAGGGCGGTGTTCAAGGTTATCTGGGCATCAATGGATCAATGCTTCATCCAACCTCTCAAGGCACCCGTCTCTTCGACGCTTCCCTAATGGGTTAGCTATTCCGGAAATTCTCTCCAACGGCCCGCTTCTTGGGAGGTTCATCCTCGCCGTGGAAACCTCACTGGCATCAATGCTTTTCGTCGGTTGGTTTCTACCTGACCTGTCGCTGGCCAGATGCCAGTTTCTCGTCGACAATTTCCTCTCTGGGGCGAACAACTCGACAGTCTTCATCGGCGAATGTCTCGATATCTCCAAAGAAGAGATGGAACTTGTAATTGTTGTGTATAGACATTCTTGAAATTCGAGTGATGTAGAGAATTTCTTTTCCAGTCGAGTTTCAGCGCGTGAGAAGTTCGACTCGATGGAGTCTATTGATGCCCAGACTATTTTCGATGTAAGCAGTTTGATTTCTGGTTGATTCTCAGCAGGCTCAAAATATCAAACTTCAACCTGGGGCTAAAACACAAAGTGAAATCACCTTCTGGATGGGTATACTAGGATGTGCCCTGAATATGAACGAGCGAGAACCATCTCTTGTTTTTAAATACAATTCACCCATTTCTTCTTGCTGCACACCAGGTAAATCCCATGATCAAGCGACATATGGCGAGTATCACAACTAAGTTTTCTGCCATGCCCACACCTGAACTTAGTAGTTAAAAAGAAAAAAACTTCCCTTACTTGGCCTTATGCTTCTACTGCAAAACTGGTTTCGGCACGCCTTGTGCTGTGTCAAGCCGATCTGAGTAGGGCTTGGCCCTCGAGCCCAACGAGGTCTAAATCTCGTGTTATCTTGGATGGCTTGAACGGGTCGCTCGAGTTCACAATCATCACGAGGAAGAGAGGCGTGAGATTGTTTATAAGATTTAGAGACACGTGCTGCCCCATCATCTAATAATTGCGAAACTGGGCTAGATGAACTGTGCTTTATAGCAAGTCAGTTCACCTCTGCGTCTCAGTGGCAGGTTGAAAAGGTACACCCAAGCAAGCGTATCAGCCACCGCCGAGAAGAGGAGAAGTTTTGTCCCAGATCTATGGCCAGTCCTATTTTTATCCGTTGTTCCAGTAGCAAGGCTCATTTCCAGTGTCGCCGTTCGATTTCCGCATTGACCCAGCAAGATTCATTCCAGCACCGTACAGTTTATAGTATTTTTGAACATCTTAATCAATCTTTTCCGGTCACGTATTGACCCAGCCAAGAAGGCCTCATCGCTATGACTTTGGATTCGCGACGGCCGACTCAACGTGCTTGGGTTTAGGTTGTTCTACTCCTTGTCGAGCCCGCCCATTTCATTTCGCAATCCATTCCTTCATTATGCGATCCCAATTTCTGGCTGAGTACACCACACTACTCTGAGACGAAACTAAAGCGTACCAAAATCCATTTCCGCTTCCAGAGCCAAGCTCTTGCCGCTCTAAGCTGAGCTGTCGCTGAGTGCAGGCCGAGGTGGCACCACCATTCAAGCCACTGCCTCCCACCCAGCATCTTGTCAATTCTGATACTGAGAAAACCTCTAGAAGAACCTCAATACACCTTGCCGCTCTAGGAAGGAGTCTCAGTCGTAGTTTTTTCTTCTTCTTCTTTTTTCTGCCTGTACAGTGGGCAACATTTGCGGCGTCGTTCAGGACTGAGTCAAGGCGCGGAAATGACTTTCACAATGAATGATATATAGATCAACCACACACCTCGCGCAAGATTACATGTATATTAGCAAGTCTTTTCAAGATGGTTATGTTGTCCACATATTTTCCCAAAGAGACAATAAACTTTTACCTTCCCGATTTCCGTACTCTAACCGCAGCCATTGAGCCATCCATCAAAACGCCTCTAACCCAACATGCCCTTGAGGACCTCGATCTGCTCTAGCACACTTGCTCGGCTGGTGCCACCCTGAGCGTTCCTTGACTCAACACTAGCCTCGTAGTTGAATACATCCTTGATATTATCCGGGAATCGGCTATCAATGGCCTGCAGCTGCTCCAGGCTCAGCTGGTCCATTGGGATTCCCAGCTCCTCGCTCTTAGCCACCACACGTCCGGAAATATGGTGTGTCTCGCGGAAAGGCACGCCAATCTTCACGAGGGCGTCTGCAACGTCGGTCGCGAGGAGAAGAGGGTTGAGCGAGGCTCTCATCCGATCGGGTCGAAGCTTGAGAGTGCTGAGGATGCCGTTTGCGATCTGCACACTGTCGGAGACAGTCTTGACATGATCCAGCATAGGCTCCCAGCTCTCTTGCAAGTCTTTGTTGTAGGTGCTCGGGATGCCCTTCGTAGCACAATAAACACCGGCAAAATGACCAAAGCCCCTGCCAGCCTTACCCCTCAAAAGTTCGAGGCCGTCGGGAATTTTCTTCTACGGGTATGTTAGCCAAGATATCTAAAGGGTAGAAGGGGGAGACTTGCTTGAGGCATCAATGATGAACCCGTTGCATACCAATCTGCACAAGTGACGAAGCCAAATTCGGCGGTATGATAGATAATCAAGTCCTCACTCCAGCTTGAGATGTGTCCCATGAACATGGTACCCCAAGCCAAGAAGGTCAGCAACAGCGCCCATGCTGTTCCACATAATGCCTTCAAAGCCGAGCTCCTTGGCCATCATCTGACGATCAATACCAAAGGCATTGCCGGCAAGAGCACCGACACCGAGTGGGCTATAGTCCCATATTAGCAAGACGATGAAGCGTGCAATGTTAGGTGTAGGTGTGCCCACCTCCTGTTGACCCGTTTCAAGGCCTCCCGTAAACGTTCCAAATCAGACGCAAAGGAAAAGCCATATGACAAGAGCCACTGGGAAAACTTAACAGGCATGGCCAACTGAAGATGCGTGTACCCAGGCATGATAAGGTCGCTATGAAGATTACAGCAAATCATCTAATCAGGACAAGTGATGTAGAACTTACACCTCAGCCTCAGCACGGGCGGCAATAACCTGAAGGAAGGCAGCAAGATGGCCCTCAATCTCACGAATACGCTCGCGCAACCACATTCGCATATCGGTAACGACCTGCTCGTTTCGGCTGCGACCAGTGTGAAGTTTCCCACCAATCTCTTTACCAATAATCTCAGATAAGCGTCGCTCATTCGCAGTGTGAATCTGGCCCAATCGCTTTAGCCATGATATTTCAAGTAGACCAGGAGGTAGTGCCTTACATCCTCATCATTAGGCATAATGACAAAGGTATCCGCCTCCCACTCCTTCAGCACCTCTCGGAGGCCGCGCTCGATTTCGGTGAACTCATCGTTGGAGATGATGCCCGACTTGGCATTGGCGCGGGCAAAGTGGCCATAATCTCAATAGAATATGATGTAGATGGAAGGGACGCATTTCAGGGGTAAGGTCCCGAAAATAGGGACATGACAGACTTTGCCAAAAGGGTGAGCAGAGGCCGGCCTGAAGTTGAACCGGGGCCAAAAGCGGCAGCCGACACGAGTAAGAAGTCGCTTGACTTTCGTCTGAGGATTAGGTACTAAAAGAACGCCAAATATGACTGAAGGAGGTTTTCTTTTATATTGGAATTGTACAATTACGCTCGCTCTATAGTTCATCCTTGCGCTCGTCCAGCTTGTCGGACCCCCAGTAAAACGTCAAAATGTCGACCCCAAGATACTCATCCTTGTAGCTCTTGGTCACCTCACCGTCGGCCGCAGCTCCCGTACAGACAATCTACCCAGGTGGTTAGCGCAACTCTTATCGCACGAAGAATACTATTACTCACAAGAGGGGTCAGGTGCTCCGAGGCTCCTGGAGGGTGCATGACCTGCGAGCCTGTGAATGATTTCCATTGTTGAATGCCCCCCCAACGCTTCTTCGACTCGGTGCCCCCGAGGGCGTCGACCAGCGCGCCGTTCCACGCCTCCGAGATGCCCCTCACCTCGGCCCTCTGCACCGGGTTGGCGTGGCGCATGGCCATCATGATGCGCAGGTTGTGGAAGGAGGCGAAGCCGGAGCCGACAATGGCGATGTTCTTCTCGCGCAGCTTCTGCAGGGCGCGGCCCATGCGGAGGTGCGACTCCGGATCCTCGGTCTCCAGGACGGACATTTGCACGATCGGCACGTCGGCCTGGGGACGGGCCAGGGTCATTGGGACGAAAACGCCATGGTCGAAGCCGCGGCGAGGGTCGAGGCGGGTGTTGTTGAAGCCCTCGGCCTTGAGGAGATCCGCGATCTCAGCCGCGATGGCGGGGTCGCCCTTGGCGGGGTACTTGAGCTCGTAGGACTCCGGGGGGAAACCGTAGTAGTCGTAAATGAGGTCCGGCTGCGTGCCGCTGGAGATGACTGGCGACTTGGTCTGCCAGTGAGCTGTGATGAGGACAATGGCGCGGGGCCGGTTGGTGGGGGAGTCGAGCGAGAGGAGCTTGGGGATGCGCTTCTCCAGCGAGTCGATGATGGTCCTGTGGTCAGGGTCACCCAGGATCGGGAGGGGTCCTGGCCGGATCCGAGTGTTAGTATGTAATGTCAGATACGGGATTGGCTGATGAGGAAAACTCACCTCCTCCATGGGACAGAGCAATGACGGGGGCGAGAGCCATCTTGGAAGCGTTGGTTGTTCGGAAGAGAGCCCAAGCCGAGATGCCAGCAACAGCACCAACAGATGCCAGCAGCTTCATAGTCTGCGTCAACCTATGTATTTATTCTTTGTCGGCCGGTACTCCTCCAGCCTTAGTTTCCACACCATCAGCGGTTGGGGTGTGGTGGCGGGGGGGCGGAATATTGCTTATATATTCCACGGCCACAACCAGATTCTAGATCCCGAATAGGTAAATCCTGGACCAAACGGCAATCCCTATGGACGGAGAGGGACCATCGAGGGGCCACGGGAGGTTGTCCTCGGCCGCTTTAGCTCAACCGCCTGCACAGATCCACCGCGTTTGTGGCTTTCCAGCTGTGCTCTGTCATAACCGCGCGGCCCGCCCACTCGGAAATGGCTTTGTCATTCGAGTCTGAGGCTCAAATGGGTGCAGTTCCGCCAATGTCCTTTCCCGCCTTTCCGTATTTCCGAATGTCATCAGACCGGCACACTCCCACTGACCTTGGCTGCACGGCTGGTCCCATCCTCAGCAGGCCGAGACGAGTGGGAACAAATCAGACCATCTCACCGAGATCACTCCCGTGCCGTGCTCGTCGAACAATCTTTCAATCAAGATACGGCGGCCTTGACATCCACTGGTGATCTCAATCGCCCCGCCATGTTTTCGGCGGTCAACCGTCGCTCAGTTATCCTCATTGCCTCATTAGGCAACAGTGCGCGGGAAGACGGCTGATCCCTCAGATATAGAAGTGCCGGCTCGCTGCTTAGGCGAGCGGAGATTGGCACAGTTTCCATCTCTTCACCACTGGGGGTGTGGTTTCTCCACAAGGTCTAGTATTGATTCTTGGCAACTCTAGAAATCTCAGCGTCGTCGAAAGCGTCTGCAATAAAAGCCGGTATATCGATTAAACAGTGTAGTGAGCTCGACCCATGATCGTGGTGCTAATGGGTTGGCGAGAATAGAATCCAAACCAGCGTAACAGCCCTGTGTTGATCACATCAGGTGTGGCCCCATCCCATCAACAGGGCATGCCATACCACGTACATCTACCTAGGTAACAATCCCTTCTAGAGAGATTAAAATTGCTGTGCAAGACCCGCACGATCAGCAGGATATGTAATAGCACGTTGGTAACAACCCTTTTGGGGGGTTAAAATCGCTGTGCAAAACCCCCACGCGACAGGAACTGTTCAATTCATAGAAGTGCCGAGATATCCACTAACCCTCTCGGTATATGCTTGCTAGGTAACAAGCGTTTTCCTACTGCTTCGTGTCAAAATTAGTAGGAGTTTGCTTGCCCACCTATCCCTAGGTAGACACATTAGTGCCTACCTATTCCGAAGTATGAATTCCCCAACGAATCACATATGTCTTCCAACTCCTGCTTCTTTTACATCTCTTTCGTTGGGTGGCTTTATCTCAACCACGTTCGCGAAATCCGAGGTGTGAACGACACTGCCGCAAAGAACTACAAGACCCCGAAGATGAGGGAGTTCCTTCTAACAGTGCACTACTGAACCTGGTATAGACCACCTATGCCCCCATGGGCAATTTCATTTCGGTGTTTGTTTTGGGTATATCCTTAACTCATTCCGTGGACCCTTTCAAGAAGGCATAGAACTTTTGGTAGTTCCCACGTAGGTAAAACAGTGCCTTCGTTGGTAGAGGAGGGCCTTAAATGACGTGCATGAGGGTGGCCACCCAAAGTGTCTATTGTATGCACTAACATGCATCCCGTCAACTGCATGTGTACAGCAATTTTAACCCGCCCTAAAGGGTTGGACACCCGACAATCGATGCCTACTCAAGTCCTGTTTGGTGTCAGCACGCCGCACAGCAATTTAACTTCACCGGAAGGAGTTGCGCAGCATAGGGTGTGACATATATCCGTATAGGTTTGGGTTTTCAAACTAGGTAGACAAGATATATCGTCTCCCACTGAGACATGGCTGGCAACTCACACCATTGGTTTCCTTAGGATTTCTCTAGTCTACACTGCCTTTTCTGGACTTCGTGCGACTGATCTTTATTTGCGAGATGGACAATCTTCGGTTGGATGGGAGAAGAGTTCAGCGCTCATCCTCACGGACACCTTGAATGGCCACTTCCTCCATGCCACTATCCCAAGAAGAGGCGATCGTCTCTGCAGAAGCTTGATTCACCAATTTCATGGTCACACAGTGTGACGAAGCAACTTTAATGCCATTGGTTCACGAGTTGCTCAGGTGATGGATGTTACATTGGCACATACCTGTCCAACCCGAATTGCAGATGTCATTACTACCCAACCTCAACGCGGTCCGCGTTTTCCCGCGGGCTTGTTCACTTTGGGGAGTGCCAGCACTTTCGTCCTTTATCTCTCTGTCCCTCAGACCTCTCGCTTGCCCAATTTCCCCAATACTCATCTCAATACCCGACTCCAGCCATTTCTCGAACCAACATCTCCGCCATGGTGGTGACTATCAATCCAGATCAGCATGCGGCCGTTTTACGCGTCTCCGCGTATCATCGCCGAGACTTTGACCTCAGCGTCGTCTGTTCAGATCCACAAAAGCATTCTGCGGTTCAACCCTTCATCTCCGAGCCGTTTCCAAACCCCGCGACTGCGCCCCTCGGGGCGTTGAGACACCTCCCAAATGAAGTCCTCGCAGAGATATGCTCCTATCTAGATGTCCTATCCTCCTTCAAGCTCCGCCAAGTCAGCCGGGAGGCCCGTCAAGTTGTATCAGCATCGCCGGCATATCGAGACCTTTCAAAACATTGCTTAGAGAGCTTACGTGGAGCCCTACGAATGGAGATTGCCGACTGGCTGCCAGTGGCTGATCTCCATCGGGTGCTCTGCACGTCTGAGTGCTCTCGGTGTGGCTGCTTTGGGCCACTCCTGTTCCTACCAATGATCGAGAGGTGCTGCTATCGCTGTCTAGTGACAGAACCGGAGTTTCGTCAAGTATCGCTCTCTGCACTATCCGAAGCAACCAAGGTTTCCACAAGCCGACTGCGCGAACTAGTGCCAGTCCTCCATACCATTCCGGGCAAATATCATCTATTTGGGCCTCGTTTTACGGAAACGCATGACTTAGTTGCCGAAAGAGCTATCCTGCAATGTCCAACGCCTCTTGATATTCAGGATCTCCCAGATTTCATCCCGGAACCCGAGGATGAACATGTTGTCCTTCGCTGTATGATGGCAACAGCCTTCCCGTACTTGGGCAAAGCGAGCTCCGATATCGACGGCGGTGTGAGCTGCAAAGGTTGTCTGATCGCCGCAACAGATAAACGTGAGGTAAGCGATAAGACCAAGGCTAGCGAGCTCATGGAGATGTCATACTCAAGAGAGGGATTCTTGGTTCATTTTCAGTCGTGTGAAGAAGCCCAGAAACTCTGGCAAGCAAGCCATGGGGGAACAGTTGAGGCTGCAAAGTTTCCATATGTCAGAAATTTCGAATACATATCTGCAGACCACCCGGAGGAATACTATAACTGAATCCCCGCTTTCTTCTTCCTTCACCCTTTCTTTGGTTTGGTTTCGATGGTGAACTTGATAATTACGGAGGATTGGAACTGGCAAAATTTGAAGATGGTAGTGAATATTAAGGAGGTGATCATGGTTCGAAGAGTCCTCTACAATCAAATCCCTTGTGCAAGTCCTCTCCGGTCATTCTTGACTAAATGCTGCAAGCCCTTGGAGTTGAAGGGCAACGCTTCCGTAGTGGTGCGAGAGCGGGGTTTCAAGATTTGATGGATGTTCTGTCAATTAACCCCGCCCAGTGTCTGACATCCAAAACAGTGATGTCAAGTTGAGACAACGGGCTGTCCTGAACGGAATTGGGCAAATAATTTACTGTTGACAGCTGCGAGTTGGATTCCCGAGCTCCAGATGCAATGTACAGGGCCTTCGGATCAAAGGGTCCAATCTCAATTGCTAAAGGGCCTGGTCTTGTCACGGTATGTGGCGGCAAACTTGACCGCTTCCAGTCAGGAATGCTTACTCGGGTGCTCGTAATGATGGTAAGCAGTAATTAAAGAGGCTTGTCCGTGGACCTCAGCAATCAGCCCGAATTGCGGATTCCATCACTAAACGCGGCCCGCGCTTCAGTGGCACTTTCTTTCGACATTGTAGAATCAAGAAATTGCAAAGTTATGCGCTTGCCAGCTGCTGCTTCCTCTGGCTCTTTGCAGCTTGTTCGTATTCTTTCGCTTGGGTGGCGCTTGATACATTATCGGAAATAACTTTACGATGATGGTGATGGTGCGCCCCTGTCGTGATGTTACTGGTCAGCATGGCTGGTGAGCATGTGTTATATTTAACATGTAACGCTCACTATTGCATATGGCGTCGCTAGTCTCCTTTATTTCCTTACCCATGCCCAATCGCTAACGGTTACTTCCCCTGTGCTTGCTTTGTTTGGGATTGGATGGCTATCATCGATTTACTTCTTTTTCTACACACATATTAGATCCGACCATGCCTTGACCGATACCATCTCGACTACCCGCACCACGGCATCTTCACAATGGCTGGAGAGGACGACACCCCCCAGCGGCTCTCCGAGTCAGTCCCCCGCCAAACCTCGGTCGCAAGCACAACAGCAGCTGGGCTCAACCAGCATGTGACCAGAGAGGCTCTTGGTCTCACGGTTGACACCCGCAGTGTCTCTTCCCCCGGACCCAAGCCCGAGGCGACTGGGCGAACAACGACTTTCGCGACGCGCCCCGACCGCCATGCCGGGAACGCCAGCCCCGAAGCGCTGCGGCGCCGATTCACCAACGCAATCAATCGCTCGGCGACGTTTCGAACCGTCGAGGACCTGGACGACTTCGATGACCCGTTCAGCCCCAGGCCGGGCTGGCAGCCTGGCTCCGAGCCCGGCTACGACCCTCTGCTCCCAGATGGTGGGCATGCATCCATGGAATTCATGAATGCGCCGTGCCAGATCACTGTTGTCGACTTCTCCCACAACCGCATTGAGAAGCGCCACTACGAAAACCAGGGCTTCATCGACGCCCTCGAGCGGCCGCAGGAGCCTTGGGCGCAGTGTCGGTGGATCAATGTGAATGGTCTCAGCTGGGATGTCCTCCAAGCTATCGGTTCCGAGAAGGGGCTGCATAAACTGGCTTTGGAGGACGTCATGAATCTCCGGAACAGAACAAAGGCAGATTGGTATGCGATTCGTATTCTGAGCCCGTCAAGCTTAAGGTCTTGGAGCAATAGGTAGCTAACATGCATTTCACAGGTATTCGACCCATGCATATATCAATCTTACCCTCCAGAAGCTCGTCCATCTAGTAGAAGACGACGAAGCCTCTTCGAGCACGGGAAGTACGATCTCACGGAAGTCTATCGTGGCTGGTTTCCGTCGATCAGTCAAAGAGCTGTGGAGGAGCAAGAAAGCAGAGTACCGGGAATCTAGGAATGACGCCAAGCTCAAAGACCAAGACCCAGAGAAGGAATCGGTGCCGACGCAGAAATACTCTCAGGGACCTGGGCTTCCCGAGACCACCATGTTGCGGACGGTTCAGAGATACCATGCCTCAAGTAATGAGGCTCGCATCGATTTCATGGAGCGTCACTCTTCCCTAGTGCCTTACAAGATGGCCGTCTCCGCCGAGCAGGTCTCCATCTTCCTTACCTCTGATAATACTGTCATATCCTTCTTCGAAGTCTCGGCAGGCGACATCGAGCGACCCATCATCACCCGCCTAAGCACAGCAGGCACTATCCTTCGCGAGTGCTGTGACGCCTCTCTACTTGTCCAAGCCATCATCGATGCCATCATCGACCTTGCGCTACCCATCACAACCGTCTATGCGGATATCATTGGCGACCTGGAACTTGATGTCCTTACTGCGCCGCACATGGACCAGAGCATAAGTCTCTACATTGTCATCAGCGAGATCAACAAGATGCTCACGTTTCTGAACCCCATTGACAACCTAGTCAATGTTCTCCGTGACCACAAGACAACTCTGACGCAGGAGCAGGCCGTGGCCGAGCTTCGCAACCCCAAGAGTGGAGTTATCATTTCGCCGATGACGCACACTTACTTTGGCGATGTGCTGGATCATTGTATCATGATCACCGAGAACCTGCAACAGTCAAAGCGGGCGTCAGACAATCTTATCGATCTCATTTTTAACACAATCTCATCACACCAAAACGAATCGATGAAGCAGCTGACGGCTGTGACAATCATCTTCCTCCCCCTGACCTTCATCACTGGTTTCTTTGGACAGAACTTTGATGGCGGATTCCCGGAAATTCACAGGGATATCTCTTACTTGTAAGTAAAGGAACTAAGGAAATCCCCTATTTCATTCAACTTCCCCTCTCCTAGGTTCAAATCTCGGTATCTAACATTTATTCGCAGTTGGATGTGCGCCGTTCCCACGGCCTTCGCTACGATTCTGATCCTGATGAGGAACATGATCCATTCATGGTTCCGTCGTATGGTCCAGAGAAAACAGGTTCTATCTACGCGGCGAAGGAAGAAGCGCAGAAAGTCATTCGTTGGCCGAACATGAATTGTCTACATTTGTGAGTTCTGCTCCGATATTGGGTAGGTTTGGAGCTTCGTTTTCAGTGAAGCGGGTTTGGATGCCAGTGCGATATGCGCTTCTTGCCTGGCGAGGTTTCTGGTCTATTATCTTGTGTACAAAATGAGCATGGCATAGGAAGAATACCCATATGAGAAAGCTTTACCACTGATTAGCGCGGTTTGCCAAGGGTGACCCTTATATACAAGTTCCCCGGACATGTCATTCAACAAATGCCCCTGTGGCGCAGTGGTCAGCGCGCTCGGTGCTGTATTCCCGTCATGTACTAGCTCTACAGCGTTACTGACTACCCCCGAGTCTTTCCATATCTCACGAGGTATGGATTGAGCAAGGGTACAAGGTCCTTAGAGAATGGGTACATAACGGGAACCATGGAGAGGTCCTCGGTTCGACTCCGAGCAGAAGCATTATTTTTTGCCCTTCTTCCTTTTTTCTTTCCTCTTTTTGTCCTTGGAGTCAAGTCTTCTACGAGCGTTCAACGGCTGCTACCCTTCTATGGCAAGGGTGCACGTTGGATGAACAGTCGGTGCCCACCTATTTCTACTGCATCCTCCAATCAATCGCCCCCCTACCGTTCTAGTTTTAGACCAAACCTTTTTCTTATTACATCCATCTCACTTAGCCGCTATCTATTAATGCTGATTGGTCAAAGAAGAAAGCGGTGGACCTCCGAGAATGAATCTCTACTTCGGAGCGGGGGGCGAGCGATTCTCGGAGACGGCAGCTCGTGATGCTATCCAGAGATGGGTAGGAGCCGATTGATAAGCGCAGGTCCCCAATGGCGCCCCCCTCGGCATGTGTTCCAGCCCAGCACCCACTCTAGGTGCTCGCATGCGCCTTGCATATGCTAGCCGCTGGTACCACACACATCGCAGCCCAACCCACCGCCTACTCTGGGGTTTGACGAACCAAGAGGGGCAGGCAGGAGGGATTTACCTAAATACTTCGGAGCTGCTTGATCTAGCATCCGGTCGAGGTTAGAGGGGGCCTTCTCCACCTTGGTGTATTTGAATCAGTGTCCTTCTCACGCCATCTTCACATTCGTTCAACATCTTCCGTTTTCTCTTTGTGCCTTTGTGTTTGCTCTTTCCCCACCTGCTGGAATTCCAGCATCCATACAGTCTAAATAATCTGTTGTTGAGAATCAGTATCGACCGACCATGGCCGAGTCCAATCATCTTGTCCTGCGAAATGGCAGAATCTATCAACACCCTGAGGATAACTTCAGTGGAAGCGGGCCTTCATTCGCGAGTGCAATGATCGTCAAGGACGGCATCATCCAGTATGTCGGTTCAGATACGGACGAGCAGGTGGTGACCGCCACCACTGCGGGGGCCCAGATCAAGGACCTCGACAACCAGCATGTCCTCCCCGGGTTCATCGACGGCCACCTGCATCTGCTGCTCCTTGGGCAGTCCCTAACAAAGGTCGCCCTGGACGGCTGCAAGGACCTGGAGGAGATCCGCTCGAGGGTGAAGAAAGCCGCCGAGGAAAATCCGCACGCCACACGCATCTTTGGCAAGGGCTGGATGGTCTCCATGACGCCAGAGGGTGTTGACGCCAGCGTCCTTGACGATCTGGACCCCAGGCCCATCTTCATTGACAGCAAGGACTTGCACTCGACGTGGTGTAACAGTGCCGGACTGGCTGAGGTTTGCAAGGTCATGGACATCGCGCCCGATGGCTCGTCCCCGGATCCTCCTGGTGGAACGATCCAGCGCGATGCGGATGGCAAACCGAACGGTGTATTTAACGAGAGTGGAGTGTTTGAAATCATCTGGCCATTTGTGGCCAAGGTTGCGTCCATGGAAGAGAAGAAGGCTTCTATCCGGGCTGCCATCACGGCCTACAATTCCGTCGGATACACTGGCATGATCGACATGGCCATGGACGACACCATCTGGGAGCCTCTTATTGAGTTGCGAAACCAGGAGGGCCTGGGGGCCATGCGACTTGCTGCTTATTGGCTGATGAAGCCCATCAAGAAGGGCGAGACAGTGGAGGCCGCGCTGGCCCAGGTCGATCGCGCAGCCGCCATGGCAAAGAAGTACAGTGACCCTGATTGCAGAATTGTTGGTATCAAGGTCATCTGTGATGGGATCATCGACACCTGCACAGCCTCGCTGACAGAGCCCTATTCAACCGGCGTCAACTCCGACATGTTCTGGGACGAGGATGTCCTCAACGCTGTTGTTGCGAGGGCACATGCCGCCGGCCTCCAGGTCGCCCTCCATGCCATCGGCGACCGCACCGTGAACACAACCATCAACGCAATCGAGAAGAACACGGACAGGTCCCGCCGGCCACGCATTGAGCACATCGAGATCTCGTCGGCCGAGGACGCCAAGCGCCTGGGCAAGATCGGCATCACGGCTTCCATCCAGCCCGTACACTCCGACCCGGCCATCCTCCGAGCCTGGCCCCGACTGATTGGCGAAACCCGATGCAAGCGCGCCTTCGCCTACCGCGAGTTCGTCGACAATGGTGCGACCCTGGCACTTGGCTCCGACTCTCCCACGGCGCCTCACGTTCCCCTCCCGAATCTCTACGTTGCTACGACCAGGCGATCATACCGCGAGCCCGAGCTCGAGACGGCAGTCAACCCTGAATTTGCACTCACGGTGTGCCAGTCAATTGCAGGAGCCACCCATGGCTCTGCCTACTCGTGCTTTGCGGATGCTTGGACAGGAAGCTTGAAGCCAGGACTCAAGGCGGATTTCGTAGTGGCCCAGGTAGAATTGACGCCCGAGAAGCTAATCAAGGGTGTCGTCAAGGAGACTTGGTTTGAGGGAAAGAAGGCGTACTCATCCAGTGGTTAGCTGGCCTCTTGTTACTCATGAGGGAATGGTGTCGGGTGGTGTTAGCATTTACGGGCGTTTGACTAGGTGGTTGATGAGATTTGCCGCAATGAGGGAATTGAGGATCGGTATAGACGAGAGCAAAATGCCAAGATTCCCACTATCCCAATCCCTTCGAGCTATCATGATTCTTGCCATCCAATCTTTATCGATCACGTTGGACTGATGTTGAAGGGAGTGTGCTGGTGCTGACCTAAGCTTCTGCCTGGAAATCGCCTGAAATGAGAGCCCGGATCTAATCATCGCCTGTGGGGCTCGGCGCATCGTCACGGTTCAGCCATCAGATCATGCACGATTTGTAGGCAACAGGCACCAGCTAGCTCCTTCCGATTATGTTTATTCTCTCATAAATTCCTCGAGGCTCATCATTTCATTAAATACTTTCATTAATTGACGCCATTTCCTCGCCTCGTTTAATACCCTACATACAATCCCAAGGTCTGACATTTCAGAGCAACAAGGCCACCCGTCACGTCTTTAGCGTGACAGGTCATATTCGCCATGGTGAAGTCGGAGCCCATGTCGGCCGACGCTGAGCGCGAAGATGAGATCCAGTATGGCGCATCAGAGGTAGCGAAAGACGAGATCTCAGAAACGTATGTGTTGCGCCTTCTTCACGTCAAGCCTCAGTCGATCTACCGAAATTAACATCGCTCAGGTACCCCAATCGCCCCAGGAATCACTCCAAGACCTTCGCATTCTCTACTCTGTTTAGAGAACTCTTCAATCCTCTAAATGAGAACAAGAAGCAGGGCGCGGGCGGCGCACGAAGGCGGGGGCCTCAAGCTGCAAACAAGCCATCTCCACATGAGCAGCGTCGCCACATTATTGACAGGTTCATTGCGAGGTGGAAAAAAGAAGTGGGAAATGACTTCTACCCGGCTCTGCGCCTCATTCTCCCCGACAAGGATCGCGACCGGGGCGTTTACGGCCTGAAGGAGAATGCAATTGGAAAGTTGTTGGTGAAGCTGATGAAGATTGACAAGAATTCGGAGGATGGCTATAACCTCCTGCACTGGAAGCTGCCCGGGCACACAATGGCTGCCCGTCTCGCAGGCGACTTTGCTGGGCGCTGTTTTGAGGTTATATCGAAACGGCCTATGAGAACCGAGGTTGGCGACATGACCATCGCCGAGGTCAATGAGCAGCTCGACAACTTGGCTGCATCGGCAGGCGAGTCGGAGAATCTACGCGTTTTCGAGATCTTTTACAGTCGCATGAACGCCGAAGAGCTCCTATGGCTCATCCGGATCATACTCAAACAGATGAAGGTGGGGGCGACAGAGAGGACCCTTCTTGATCTATGGCATCCAGACGGCGAGGCTCTATTTAGCGTGACTTCGAGCTTGAGGCGTGTATGTTGGGAATTATACGATTCTTCGATCAGGTTAGAGCAGGGAGAGACTGGTATTGCCATCATGCAGTGTTTCCAGCCTCAGTTGGCGCAGTTTCAAATGCCGGCATCTTTCCAGAGGATGATTGAGCTTCTCAGACCAACGGAAGAGGACCCCGAGTTCTGGATCGAGGAGAAGCTCGACGGTGAGCGCATGCAGATGCACATGACCGCCGACCCATCGCATCCTGGGGGGCGCAAGTTTCTTTTCTGGTCCAGAAAGGCAAAGGATTACACATACCTCTACGGCAACGGGCTACAGGACGAGAATTCGGCCTTGACACGGCATTTAAAGAAGAGTTTCGCCTCAAATGTGCGAAACCTCATTCTTGACGGAGAGATGATCACATGGGACATGGACACAGACAAGATTGTTCCATTCGGTACATTGAAGACGGCCGCACTCTCTGAACAGCAGAACAAGTCCAATTCGGATTCAACTGGTCATCGCCCAGTTTTCCGGGTATTTGATATTCTATATCTCAACGACAAGCAGCTCACCCAGTATACGCTCCGAGATCGTCACAAGGCGTTGGAGAAGGCAGTCAAGCCCGTTCATAGACGCTTGGAAGTCCACCCGTATACCGTAGCAACGAGTGGCGATGCAATCGAGCCTCTTCTTCGCGAAGTTGTCGCCAATGCCTCCGAGGGTCTGGTTCTCAAGAACCCGAGGTCAATGTATCGCCTGAATAGCCGAAACGACGACTGGCTCAAGGTGAAGCCCGAGTACATGTCCGAGTTTGGAGAATCACTGGATTGCGTTGTCATTGGCGCGTATTATGGCTCGGGAAAACGAGGTGGCACCCTTTCATCCTTCCTCTGTGGACTCAGAGTCACGAAGAATCACATCCAGGCTGGTGCCAACCCCGAAAAGTGTTTCAGCTTCTTCAAGGTTGGCGGTGGTTTCCGTGCAGAGGACTACGCTGAGATCAAGCACCGGACAGAGGGCAAATGGATTCCTTGGGACCCAAAGAACCCTCCGACAGAGTATGTCGAATTGGGCGGTGGAGAGAGCAAGCAGTATGAACGGCCTGATCTCTGGATCCGACCCAAGGACTCTCTTGTCATATCTGTCAAGGCCGCGAGTGTAGGTCCCAGCGACCAGTTCGCCAAAGGTGTCACTCTCCGGTTCCCTCGCTTTCGCCGGCTGCGCCTTGACCGCAGCTGGGATTCGGCCCTATCATTGGAGGAATTCCAAGACTTGCGTAGGAAGGTCGATGAGGAGGCGAAAGAAAAGGCCATGACCGTGGAGGACAGGAACCGCCGAGGCGCGAAACGCGTGAAGCGAGAGCTCGTCATTGCGGGTGAAGACAGTGCACCGGTGGAATTCAAGGGAACATCGACGAAGATATTCGATGGTCTAGAGTTCTGTGTCCTATCAGAGTCTCTAAAGCCCTACAAAAAATCCAAGGCCCAACTTGAGGCCGTCATCAAAGAGAATGGCGGAACCCTCTCTCAGCGTGCAGATCCAGGTTCAAACATGGTCCTCATCGCGGACAAGAACGTTATCAAGGTAGCCAGTCTCATCAAGGGGGTGGTGTGGATATTATCCGACCCCGGTGGGTGAGGGACTGTCTCGACCAGAGTGACAAGACCTTTCCCCTCCCGTATGAAGACATCCATCTGTTCCACGCCACAGAAGCTTTAAAGCACACAGCCGCTCAGAACACAGATCAGTATGGGGATAGCTATGCTCGAGAGGTGTCTGTGGACGAGCTCCGGGAGATTTTAGCAGACATGCCCAAATTCGAGAGCCTGGACACTTTTAATAAGAAAGGCTTCATAGATGAGTTGGAAGAGCGCGGTAAGGACCTCAACAACCTCAAAGGAATGGCTTTCCAGCGTTGCGTGATCTATCTCAAGACAGTGCAAGATTCCGACAAAAATCTCGCATACAGACTCTCGAATTATATAAGGTACGCCGGCGGCGTCTGTGTCGACGATATGGACAACTCAGAAATCACGCACGTTGTTCTGGTTGGCCAGGACTCAGCCGAGTCTCGCGAGGTGGGGGAGCAAGTTCGGAGTGAGCTCTCATCTCGAAGTCAAGTACCCAGATTTGTCAAAGGAGGGTGGATCGAGGATTGCTGGAAGGAGAAAACTCTGATTGATGAGGAGCAGTACTCTGTGCTATAGGAATGGCTAATCATGAAGAAATAAACGCAATGCCAGAGACCATCTTTCAAGCGTCGTGCGATTTCTATCTATGGATATTGCCTCTAATCCCTCTCGTCTCTTTAGCATGTGCTATATACTCTAAGAGAAAAAGCGAAACAGCATTTTAACCTCATCGCTTAGCTCGTTGCAGCCTTTGCCTTACTTGCCAATAGTTAGGAATAATCGGTCACCAACATCACCGAGACCCGGTTTCAGCATGCCCTCCTTGGTCAGCTGCTGGTCCACGGCGGCGAGCCAGATTTCCGTGCCCTCGGGCCACTCCGCCGCCGCCTTTTTCACACCTTCCTCGGCCCCCAGGACGCAGAGGACAAGGACTCGTTTGGCGCCCCACTCGCGGAGGGTGCTGATGGCGGCGGCGCAGGTCCCACCGGTCGCGATGACGGGATCCACAATGATGGCAAGGCTGGAGGCGTTGCCGCCGTCCGAGGACGACGGGTCGGGGATGTGGTGCGGGAGGTTGTTGTAGTATTCGACGGGGTCGAGGGTCGTCTGTTCACGGTACATGCCCAGGTGGTGGACCGGCACCGGAGCTGGGAGGATGGTCTGGACGGCTATAAAATGACAGTCGAGCGTGAGCAGGTGCTGGGAGCCAAGCGCGGAGAGGGGCCTAACCTTCCACCATGCTTAAACCCGACCGTAGAATGGGGACGATGCATAGTGTGTTTGGCTGGATCGTGGTTGTGGTGTATTCGAAGCCTAGCGGTGAGACGTCCTGTGTTTTTGACCGCTCAGTTACTAAACTCGGGAGCTGGGAGGGCAAATAAAGCATCATGTTCATTATTGCACACCTTTGGTCCATCGGCGGGGGTGATGGCCTTGCTAAGGGCCTCGGTGGAAATTACGAGCGAGATCTCGTGGATGAGAGCCTTGACGTCTTTTGACGACGCGGACTTGGACCGAAGCTGGCTTAACTTGGCCAGGACGCTGGGGTGCTGGGAGACATGTACGTTGGACAGGGATGCCATCGCTCTCTTCTCTGCTGGGCCGAGCGCTCCAATTTCTATGTTTCTTTCACGGTGGGAGGATCGAGGGGTCTGGGAATGGGAGGAATAAGTAGGAAAACAGAAGAGGGGGGATTATTCTGTGGGAACCCGAAGGGAGACAGACTTTCAGGTCACCTGGAAGTCTGGAGTTTGGATGTCCTATCGTAATCGTTTGGGCGGCTTTGCAGGAGCACAGGGCGGGAGCAGGCGGTAAGTGTCCCTTTTGGCGGGTCGGTGGGGTACAAGAGGGGGTCCTTATCCACCTCCACCTTCTATCGGGTCCCACTGGCCAATCCCTAGCCTCGCAGGCCGAATGCCGTCACCGGGATTAGGTACAGGAGCTTTCCCGCGGTAGAGTGGGCCAGCTACCTTACGTAGCTCCAGGCAGGGAGCTCTTTGGGACTGGGCTGGTCATGTGAATGGCAGACACTGCTTGCCCAAGAGCTTCCCAATCATGGCCTAGCCAGCCTCAGTGAAGCTCTGGCTTTGGACCAGGGGGCCATACATATTATCTGCTCATATTGAAATAAATGCGCAGTCATCGTCAGAATCACAAACTTCTCAGGTTAAAACGGCAACAAAGGAGATGATTCCTCTTTCACGAGGGATCAGATTCAAGTTGACGATATTCCAGGCGCAATGTCTTGTCCATGTTGGATGACCCTCCCACCTTTCTCCTTTTCGCCTAGGGGAAATTTATGGCATTCTACAAGTACCTTCACATAACAGGATGCCCCACTAATGTAGGACTAACCACTGCTCCTCGTGAGGAGGCTCGAGAAAACAGAAAAATAGAGAGATTTCAGTGGTAATAGACATATATTAGTAACAAAAAGCTTGCAGCAGCAGGGAAGATATCTCTATCTTGACTAGTCTCTCTAAATTCCAACAGAATCAGGCTAAGCCTCGCGAGGCAGGCAGGAGCCACAGCGATAGACAGCTCCTTCCAACCTACGCGACCAGGCTGTCTTCTATTATGACAGGCGATTGCTACAGTCTTGACCCAGCTCTCTTTTCTCATGGCGCGTAATTACTGTGGCTCTAACCCGGCTGTCTCCCGTCAAAACCTGCGATCGCTATGAAGTTGCGCCGAATTACGCTGAGTTACGCTGAGTTGCGTGGATTGCACCGAGTTGCGCCAAACTGCGCCGAACTGCACCAATTGCTCCTGTCAACAATGGGCTATCAGCTTTCACACATTTTTGAAATAGTCTTCCCCCCCCCCCCCCCCCGACTGTGGCTTCTCCTGACCCTGTCAATGGGACCCCAGACAACCAGAACTCAAGACGTCACCCAGGAAGCCGCACTCACATACACCTCCACACCTCCTGCAACGTAGGTAGGTAAGCACGTAAGGTAAGTATAAGAGGGCGTGCAGCGCTGCAAGAGGCTAAAGTCCGCTTTCTAACACAGGACGCACACCCCCTCTTGATTAATTCTCCACTCACTCTAGTGGTGCTTCAACTCGCACCTCGGAAATAAAGGACATCCCGACATCTCTAAGGCCTCCGTTGCACTCCGCTGCCCTCAACGCTGTACTTGCTGTTCCGGCAGAACTGAGAGCAAGTTATAAGTAGTGAGCCGAAGACCTAGAAAAAAAGACAAGAGAATGGGAAAACCACTCCGGCGCTTTCGTTCGCTTTGCATTTCAAACAACTCCATCCAAACGGCAGGCCCCCTTTTTTTAGCCAGTAACCTCCAGTATGAGCCCCGAGGTTATATGTAGTATTGCGTTTGGCTGTGCAGCCGCCATGTTGGCTGTCGCTACTATGGTTCAGAACTACATTCACAGTCGACGGGCAAGAGAAGGTGGAAATACCCGTCCCATCCTTTGTTAGCTACCTGGGATCAAATTGCTTTTACTTACATAAATGCTGCAAAGATACTCAAAATGAAACCCGTCGGCATTGGCACGGCTGGGGGACCCACCGTGGAACTTACATACCACTGTACCACTCCCATGAACAATTCACAAATACAGCGGACGAAACGTCATTGCAGTACCCCACGCCCACAGCACGTCCAAGCTACTATCGTAGCTAAGGTAAAAAAAATTATTTATGATATTGGATCTATTTTAGTAGCATCTTACTCTAATGGTGCGTTTAAATTCCCCTCTGTCTGCCGGAGAGTTTGATGTATCCGGACTGGCGTGTCAGCCACATTTGCTAACTGTGGCTGAATAGTGGTGGCTAGGGTAAGGTCCACTCCGCTGGTATGGCGAAGACGAAGCTAATCAACGCCAGTTTAAACATTTCACTTTCATTTTTCTAGACCTTCAAGGATAATCTGTTCTTATGCTTGTCTTTCGAAGCATCGGACGGTATCTCTCAAAGGGATCTGCAGAGGTACTAACCTGTCCAATCTCGCCGCTTGGTCGAAGGCCTCCCACAAGTTTGCTCAGAGATGTAATTTGAGCTCCTGGTGCCGTGATACCCGATCGCTCGCACTTCTCATCTACAACCCTCTCATTCCTCCATCCTATTTTGCATGCTCAATTCATACAACCGCACAGCTCCGATGAGGCCTAGGCACACGCGACGATAGCTTCTACTCTTTCTCCCTTCGGTGGATTCCAAGCTCAAGGGATAATCAAGATGGCCGAAAGGCTTCAGAGAGAAGGCCTCCCGCAGCGTCTAACCCAGGATGCAAACCCAACCCTCCACACTCCCCATGCTGATGCTACCGAGAATAAAATTATGAAAGAGCTCAGCCTCGGGGGGAGGATACTCAGACTGAACCACTGGGTCAATATGAGAACCTAGACGAGCTCGCAGCGGTTCCTCCCGTGGAGAACCCGGACGAGGCTGAAATCTATCGTCATCGAAGCTTAGAGCAAACCCGAAGCCAGCAGCAGGCCAGGAGGCAGAGCTTGGTAGCCGACCAAGAGGCAGGGGGGGCCGGTATCCCCAAGACCGACGGGCCTTCGGAACTCGCCATCACGGTGTATACGCTGTCTTACCTTGTCTTCTTCGCCATTATGGGCACGCTCGCGAGAGTAGGCCTGGCGGCATTGACCACATACCCGGGCGCGCCGGCCATCAGTGGCACGCTGTGGGCCAATTTCGCGGGTAGCCTCATCATGGGGTTTCTCATTGAGGATCGGATGCTTTTCAGCGTCGGTAGTCCATCGCGAGTCGATGGAAAGAAAACAGATGACGCCAACGGCTCAAGCGGAGCCGAGAATGCTGGCAGCTTGGAGGCGGCGAAGAAGAAGCACTTGGCTCTGAAGAAGACCATTCCCCTTTACATTGGGCTCGCCACCGGATTCTGTGGCAGCTTCACGAGCTTTTCCTCGTTCATCAAAGATACGTTTCTCGCCATCTCCAATGACCTTGTCTCTCCCGACGTCATGGGCTCGCCCACCCCTCGCAACGGCGGCTATTCGTTCATGGCCATGCTGGCTGTGATCATTCTCACACTCTCGCTGTCCATCTCCGCCCTATTCATCGGGGCACATCTGGCTATTGCTGTGGAGTCGGTATTTTGTCGCCCTGTGAATTTCCTCGCTTTGCAGCGCATTGCGGATCCTCTGGTTGTTGTGCTCGGATGGGGTTCCTGGATCGGTGCTGTTTTCCTCGCCATCTTCCCTCCATATGATATATGGCGAGGAGAGGTTCTGTTTTCTCTTATTTTCGCGCCTCTAGGCTGCTTGGCCAGGTTCTATCTCTCGCTGTACCTCAACGGGAAAATCGCCTCATTCCCACTGGGTACATTCACTGCGAACATCGCGGGCACCATGGTGCTGGGGATGGCGTGGGACATCGCGCATGTCCCCGTTGGCGGAGTCATCGGGTGTCAAGTGCTGCAAGGAGTAGAGGATGGCTTCTGCGGCTGCTTGACGACGATATCAACATGGGTATCCGAGCTCAGCAGTCTCAGGAAGCGACATTCGTACATATACGGGACGACAAGCGTTGTCGTGGGTCTGGTGTCTATGATTGCTATTATGGGTGGTTTGAAATGGAGCAAAGGATTCAGCGGCTTGGTGTGCACACCATGATAGACAGCTAAATACATCAATACATACTCGAGTCGAATGCCTCTCAAACCTTGGGTGCCTTATTCCCATCTTGATAGACACATTTCCAAAGGCTCCGTCGATGATTCCTGATGGCGAACATGATACTGTGCTCTTCCAGCCTGTCATGGCCGCAGATATATCTCAACATGTTCTGGTGGTTATTCAACCTACTCCTTCTTCTCTTCCTCCTCCTCAAGCTCCGGGTAGTGCCTCCAAATTCCGTCGCCATACTTCTGTCGCTTATCACTTGCCAGGTACTCTTTAATTGCCGGACGCTCCTTGATTGTGTCGTACAGCTTGAACACACCATCATACTTTCCGGATTCCTTGAGTTTCTGGATTGTTTTAGGGAAAGCAAACTGGGTTCCATCAATCGACTAACGGTTTTTGGTCAGCGTGACTACCGGCAAAGGGGAGATTTTCATAGAAGGGCTGGTGCAACTCACCTGGAAGAGCACGAGATCAGCATACGTGAGGCTATCCCCATACAGCCAGGGCCCATCGCCGCTGGTCTCGGCATCTAGCACTCTCTGCGCATAACCCAGAAACTTGGGGAGCCGCTCCTCAATGAAGAATTTGGCACGCTTCTTGGCCTCCGGCTTCTGGTCCTCGTAGTAGGCGGCTACGGAGATGGGGTGATGCGTGTCGTGGAGCTCAGTGACAAAACCGTCGATGAGGGTGAGGACAATCTGGTTCAGGTGGTAGACGGCAACGCCCTCCTTGGGGGCCAATCCCAGTCTCGGGGCCAGATACTGGAGGATGTTGGGAGTCTGGCTGAGGAGGACGTCACCGTGACGAAGGGCGGGGACGGCGCATACAGGAGGGTTTTTGCCTTGGACAGACGGTCCTAAGTCTGGGGACACGAGCTCAAGAACCTGGCCGATGGACGCTCCATGGCCTTTATCTGAGGTGTCTTTGAATGGGACGCCGGCTTCGACGAACAGGAGACGGATGAACTCGCCCCGGCCGGGGAGGCCGTGCCAGTAGATTAGCTCATAAGGAGCGTCCTCGGTCTTGATCCGCTTCGAATCAGGCTCAGCCATGGTCGTCAATTGGTAATTCTTGATTGAGTACTTGGAATCGTGAAACAAGGAAGGGAGTCGGTGAGGTAGGACAGAAGGGCGTGGTTGACTGCTTATAAGTGCTTATGTAGCTCTGGTGGATCGCATTACTGCGGGGTTCCAGCAGGTGAATGTTACTATGACATACTTGCGGCACAGCAGTGGCCTTTCTAGTATGCTCTTCTCTAATGCATCTATGTGGTCAATCAGGGTCGTGTTGTCTGGGTGATGCACGTCTCGCTCATTGTGTCTAGACAAAGGTCCGAGGTGGCCTCTGCTGCGTATTGCGTATTTCTAGTCAAGTCCGCCTTCATGGAACCCGTACGGCTGACGGCAGCTTCGGCCACAAAGCGGGGGCGTGGGAGAGGTAGCATTGATCTGTTTTTCAAGGGTTTCATGTTTCATAATAAGCTCTCTTATGTCTGAGTGAACACACAAACAGGGAAAGCATCACGTCAGGCGGATTGATATAATCTCAGACTAACTTGCGATAGGGACCAAATGAGGCCCTAAGTAGAGCTAAGCTTCATTCATACATTCAATATGTGCACATTTTATTTATAGACGGTGACTAGGGAGGCAGGGACTGGGTTTTGGGCTCTCTATTCTTTGGTACTATATCTCTACCCTTCTCATACGTCAGCCAATCCCAGTGATATAAATTATTTCCAACCGCCATGATGATAACATCAGCCTCCAGAACACGGAATAGAAGAATGCTTACAGCGAGGGTCCGAAGGATTTTCCCACAGCGAGAACTTGTCCTTGCCAAGCCTGGACTGCTGTGCATTAGCGCTGATGAGTGCCTCGTGCGGCTGCATCTACGCTCAGGCAAGCTGAACAGCTTGGCGCAATTCGTCCACTGCTCTGGTTCGTCGAGAGGATCATTGCATAACCCTGGCTGAGCAGCTAATTCTATTGGCTCCATAGCCGCTGAAAGTGTAGCTACTTGCTTTTTTGAGACTTCAGCTCGGGATACCTATTATAAGTGGAATAGCCAACTTGAACCGATCTTTTCATCCTCAAAGCTGCAACTTCTCTCATCTCCCTTATTTGGTTCCTAGAGATTTACGAATTGCCGTTGGCTACCCGCCATTCCATTTCCCATCAAAATGAACTTCATAATCGGCAAGAACGAGGAGGATGAGTTCGACAAGCTGACACCACAATGGATCCGCATGACGAGGTTGCTGGAGCTGGAGGATGGCCTCAAATCCCGCCACGGGAAATACCCTTGGCTCTGGTGCCTCCTGACAGTCCACCGGGAATTCGACACACGCCTGGCAAAGGCCGCTTCCCTGAAGCCCGTCACCGACCAGTTCGAGCTGTACCCGCTCAAGACCATCCAGAGAGTATCGGCGTTCCGCCACGACGCCAAGACGCAGGATTTGACGCATGCGTTTCTTGCGTTTCTGGCCTCGAAACAGGAAAGCTACCGCCTATGTTGGTATTATATACAGAGGAACCTCCAGGCCCAACTCAAGAGTTTGGAGGAACCCACAGAAGATCATTCTTCGGGGGGTTGGAATGCCTATGCAGCTGGATACAGCTTCAAGGGTGAGAAGTTTGATGATTCGGCCGCACTTTCAAGCGAGGACAGCGCTCTGGCCGAGCAAGTCCGGAATTTCGCCATCAAATTTCAGGAGGACTACGCCAACATCCGAAATCGCAGTAAGTGCATGGCCTGGATCCCATGATCCTTCCACATCAGGTTGCTCACACCGCATTAGAAATAACGGCTTCCAAGCCGATCGCAAGAAAGCTGCAAGATATATTCCAGGAGGCAAAGAAATCCTGGCCGGAAGAGATCGACGACATCTGGAAGTTTCTCAGCGACATCATGGAGCTCGAGCCTTCCGAAACCAAGCACCATCAATGGCGGTACGAGAATGCGTTCCCTCTCACGGCGCTTCTGGAGGCCAATTTCTGCATGTTCGCGAGGATGGATACCGGAACCCAGGCAATCTTTTCCTGGCCCGAGGCCTACCAGAGGCTGAAACTCAGTGCTGAGGAGAGAGCGAGCAAGTGGGGGGCCATCTATCAGGAAATAGAAACCCTCAGAGGCACGATCGAGGAGCAGCGTCAAATCATCACGTGTCTTGAATACCGCCACATCCTAGAGCATCTGCCTCCCGACCGGGTCCCCGGGAAGGGCGGCCCGAAATGGATGAATCTGTGGGAGGAAGTCGTGAACCAGGAGTTGGATCTGCAGTTCCTAGGCGACTTCGGACCACGGGCTCTGACACCGCTGTTTGAAAAGAAAGTCAAGGATCTCTCCAACGCGAGGCGCCAGGCCATCGCGAAAGAGATCAACCGCCAAATCACAGTGGCACAGGCAAATGGGTTGCTGCCAGCTAAGCCCGCGAGTATTGCTCAAAGCGTGAACGTAGACCACACCAATATCCACGGTGGTGTCAAAATCCCCTACAAGGAGTGGCCAGGGTATCGGAGAGGTGAGGACATGTACAGTGACCTGAGCGAAATGATTCATGGGTATGGGAAGAAGTACGAGTTCCAGGCAACGAACTGGCCAAAACTGGAACGACACATTCTCGAGTGGCTGAAACCAAGCAGCGCCACGGCTGGAGAGGGGAAGGAGATCGTCTGGGAGGATGAGAGACAGGAGAAGAAGATCCGGTAAACGCTAGATTCATTTTTGCTTTGGAAGTTGGTTTCTGCAGAATGGGCAGGAGACGGATGCTATGCCCAAGGTTGAGATTATGAGAAAATCTTGGCATATACAGAGCATCATATGAGTAAAAGGGACGAATAAAACTTTGTAACATGAGTTCATTGTTTCCTTCTAGTCAAACCTCCCCTAAAATCTTTCAATTGATACTGTTCTCTCTTGCAAATGTGTCATGGTTAATACATTGAAGATCGCCTGAATATATACTATAAATCAACACTTATATTTGTGTACAGCTGGATCAGCACAGTTCAGAAGTCTAACACTGCTTAAACAAAGAGATAAATCTTCTCCTTTCCAGAACCAACAGCCTTGATCTGCGAGCCGATCGTCAAGGGGCTACCCTCACTGACGACAAAATGCCCGCTTCCCCGTCCTTCAGGCACGCCCTTTGCTCCGAGAATCTCGTGAATGTTCGTGCTCACCAAATCCAACGCCTCTTGCTCAGTCAGGCGACCCTCCCCGTTGCGGTAGGCCGTCCCGGCCGCAAACGCAAGGTCGCGGACCTCCCAATCTTCCAGCAGGCCGATGCCGACCTTGACGCCCGCATCCAGCAGCCAGTCGATGGTCGTACCGTTGGTCAGAGGTGCTCCCGGCAGTGCTCTTCGGCTGTCCCAAGACTCTCCCTTTGCCTGGAGTGGCGTCAGGATCACGCCGACCTGGGCCTTTGCCAGCTCCTTTGCGACAATATGAGATTCCGCGCCACCAATGATGGCCAGCCTGATCTTCTTTCCAAATTCGTAGGCTTCCAGGTCCTTCTTCACCCTCAAAGCGGAGGCGATGCCGTCGGCGCTGTTAATGGTCAGCGCCAGGGTCCTCTCTCCCTCGAGGACCTGCTTGAGGAAGCCAGCCTCTGAATACGGCGCGGGATCCTCCTTGCTCTGGCCCACGGCGATGAGCGCAGTGCGAAGAGCACCAAACGCCGCCGAGAAGCTGGCGGTGGCCTTGACATTCCCATCGAGAGTATAGTGAACAGCGACGTCGTCTGCAAATACGGCGCCATCATCCAGGCTGATCCGCGCGTCCGTCACGAAGCCGACGCTGGTGCCATGGTGTGTGGCGCCGCCGAGGAATTTAGGAGCCGAGAATGCCCTGGTCACGCCGGCGGTCACTGCAGCGTGAAGTTTCTTGCTGCCAAGCGCGAGTCCGTCAATGGCTCGAGAGAAGGTAGCAGGGTTGTCGCCATTGTCGGTGCTTGACTCGGCATCAATCTCGTTCAGACCAAGTGTACCAGCGACGCCGGTTAGACCATTGTAAAGGTATCCGTTGGTCAATTGGGTCACCTTGATCCCGGAGTCTGCAGCGATTTTGAACTCGCGCTCGCAGCTTCCAAGACACGAGAGTTTACCGTTGGTGATTACGGCGTTCAACGAACTCTCTTCTGATCCCAAGTTTTCACCTGACAGCAAGACTTTGGTAATTCCCTTGAAGACTGCATCTGGAACCACCTCTGGTTCTTCAACAATATGCGACAATGCTTCATCTGGCACAATTGGACCCCGGGTATTCTTGGAGAGAACCACCGGGGTCTCATATTGCGCCGTGCCATCAATCCAGACCTGAACTGGAGTCGCGCCAACACTGAGAGGATCACTGTCCCACACAACAACGTCGGCGTCGAAGCCTGGCTTGATTTTCCCGATACGCTGACCCAACCCAAGTAGCTCTGCCGGGGCACTTGTAACAGCGGAAAGCGCGGCATGATATGGGAGGCCCCAGTGGTAACCCTTGGCAGCTTCGAACAGAACGTGCTGAGCATTCAGAACAGGGTTGTCGCTGACGTAGACTGTGGTAAGGCCTTCGTCGTAGAGATACTTTCCAGCGAATTGGGATCCGATATATGCCTCTTGCTTGTAATACATGTTATCTGCAAAGAGGGCGGACGCAGGAGCCCGGCCACCCCAGGTGCGATTAAGAATCTGTAAATTGTTAGAACAAGTCTCTTGAATTCAAAATGATCGGTTTACCTACCTCGGGAACTAGGAACGTCTGGTGAGCATGATGGAAAGCTCGAACAGGAAACTCGAACTCATTGGTGTGATCGACCATAGCTTCAAGGTCAGGAATGGTGTAGCAATGGGTGTTGATATGAACTTGGCCTCGCAATGCCGCAACTAGAGGTTCCCAGAAAATCTCCTGTGGAAGATACTCGTTCATGTTCTCCACGCCAATAACCTCAGCCTTGGCGCACCAATCGTCTTGTTTCTGGATCAGGGCTCGCGCTTCCACGAAAGCCTTGCGGAACTCAAAGCTTTCACCCATTCTCGTCATGGGTCGGGTTGTGCGTGAACCGTGGTAGCGCTTCGGGTTTTCGCCGCAGGCCATCTTCATATAGCGCCAGCTACGCTCGGGGTCAGCCAACATGTCTGCAGCACTGATCTCCTTGCGACCATCCTTTTTCCCAACGGCGTGCTTAACAACATAGGCTTCGCCTCCAATGTTGTTGGCGGAACCCGGCAGGACAAGAGACGTGGTGACACCCCCAGACTTGATCACTTGGATCTGAGGATCCAGAGGCATGATGGCGTCGATGGAGCGGGCCCAGGGCGTGATGTTGTCCGATCCCTCGTTGCCATCCGCGCTCCCCTGGAGCTGCGGGAGCGAATATACGCCGGCATGGCTGTGCATGTCGATGATACCAGAAGTGAGCTGGCGGCCCTCGGCATCAAAGACGATCGTATCATCCGGAAGACTCGACGAGGAGATGCGATGCTGGACCGTCTGAATGAGCCCATACTCAAGCAAGATATCGCCGCGGATCCACCCCCATCCTTTGCCGGCCCTTGCATCCTCAGCGCTCGTCCCTTCAATCGGCTCGCCAACCCAAATGGCAGCGTTCTTGATCAGGGTCGGCTTGCTGCCTTCAATATACCGGGCATTCTTGTCACGGCCGAGTCCGATTGGATCTTGGGGCTTAGACTGGAGCTTGGCGCAAGTTTGAAGGTCCGCTCTCAGCTTAGCAACCGACAATAACGGATCTTTAGTTGTCCTATTCCAAATGAGCGTCCATTGGCCAAGGGCGATAAGAATCAGTGAGGCGACAGAAATAGCCTTGATGACTCGTGATCGTCGGAAGCCTGGTCGACGGTGGGAGAGGCGAAAGGGCGACGCGGCAGTGGCCGCAGAATAGGGCGGCAGGTCCGATTTCCTGTCCATATCTTCTTCACAAGCTCACACAAGCTCTGGCATGAATCTCAGAGCCAGCAGCCGCCAGGTGTTGCGGTTATATGAGCACGAGGACAATGGAGAGGGGAGCGAGCTCGGCTCAGGGCATGTGGAGACGGAGCTCTTATCAGTGGGTGATAAGCCTGGACATCCCTGAAGCAACAGGGGACCTTTGAGATGATGCAATTCTAGCCTAAACTACATAATTTGATGGACGGTATTTATATTATTAGTCGTGTATCCATGATATGATGTGGTTTGCCATATATATGTGCCCAGGGTGTTGTTGAAGGTGACGGATCAGACCCTTCCGTGATCGTTGGCGTCTCATGTATGAAACAACCATCAATTTCTGTCGGCCGCGAACACAGCACGCTCTTTATGATCAACAAATACAGTCAGAAGAACAAGTGAGAAATCTCATAAATGGAATCAAATATAAACTACCCGCCAGTATTTGATTTCTTTCCCATAAACATCCCTCATGAGCTCGTAATTCATAGAACAGTTTTCCCCATACCTCAACCCAGATTCATCTCATCATGATCATCAATGAATTGGTTGGTTTTCATCCACTAGCCAGCTAGTGTAAACACCTGCTCGGTCACATTGCTGCAGTTATCAACATCAATCACTCCATCGGCCGCAAACAAACAGAACCCTTCGCCATTCATGGGAGTCAGTCCCAGTGGACCCTTGCCCCCATCGAACTTCCACAGCTGAGAGTCCGTCACCTCGCCGGACCCATCCGCCCGTCCTCCACACGAGAAGAGGTTGATCTGGCTCCCAGGTTTCCGCCTGGGATCGGCGTTGAAACATGCCTGCGTGAGGGTGCTGACGATGAGCGTGTAGCCCTCCTTGTCGTTGTGCTCCCCCTTGGTGATGAAGTCCCACCCTTGGCCATCAGTCGTTCCGCAGTCGGCGACCTGGATGGGGGTCAAATTCGCGCGAAAGTCGCCAGATGTCTTCTCAACATAGAGACAGCGGCCATCAGAAGTCTTGATTTGTATGTCGGAAAAGGCACGAGTAGCAGTCTCGTCTCTGTGGTGGGCCTCCTCGTAGGCTTCTTGGTTGAGCGTAGCAGGCAAAGGGACGGGACTAGCCAAGATGAAGGCCGCAAAGTAGAGAAGAGCAATGATAATAAACAACATTTTGTAGATTTGCAGCAAATATCATAGGTTGGTTGATATGGAAATCAGAAATGAAGAATACGAATTGTTTGTCGTCAAAGTCCGTCCAGCGGCACGAAGTGATAAAGTAAGGAAAGGGAAAGAACAAAGAAATATATTTAGACAATGGCAGAGAACCAGAGATTTTTGCCCATTCTCATCTCATAAAATAGCGAGTCAAACAAAGGATATACATTTTTCAAGGGAGGCATATTGGCAAGAATTGGGTGTTGGTTAAGCGCCCAATTGTATGGCATTTCTTGGCATCAGGCACATTGGTCTCATCATTGAACCACAATCGGTCGCAACGCTGGACTCCAATAGCAAAACATTTCATTTCCCAGGCCTGCAGATTGTGTCAAGCGGAATGGTTGTATGTACAAAAGCCAATGCGGCTCATAGAACGATCTCGTATACTTTAGCCGCCAGACGTGCATCGGATCCAGGAACATGTTTCGTGTCAGCCACTTAAGCGCGCGGGTTTGAGGGAGAACGAACGAGATCGAATCAACCGCTTGTCTCCATAGAGAACTCAAAACCTAAGAATAGACTTCAAACCGTAACCGGTTTCAATAGAGAAGTAGCTTGGCCCAAATAACCCCTCTTCTATGGGTTGGA